GAGGGCAGTGTCACTGGCCCTCATATGTGGGATCCGAACCGGGGTCATCTGGCATCCCAAGCCAGTTCTTAACCATTGTGCCACTCGGCCGGCCCAGTACTGTCCATTTTTAATTCTCTTTTAATCAGTGTGTGTTCTGTTCAGGGAGGAACCCTGGGGATTGATTTTTTTCTCTTTGAGACTGTGCTGCAACTCATACAAGTCTTCTTTCTGTGGAACCTACAATTTTCTTTTTTTAAATCCTGTAACAGCCTAATCCATTTTAACCAGTATTCAACTGTTTGTTTATTTTTTTTGGGGGAGTGGATTTTATTGGGGCTTAATTTTGTGAACATAATTTGCCAATGGGTAAGGGGAAAATGTAAATATTTGATGCAATGTTTTCCTCCCGAGATGATTATTCAACATAAAAAGTTAATACCTTCTGTGCTCGCTTCGGCAGCACATATACTAAAAGTTAATACCTTCTGCAGTGGAAATGTGGACTGCAGCTGATGAGGGCTAAAGTAGTTAATGTTGGGTATAAAAGAAAAATACAGTTCCCTTGATTCAAGTCAGCTGATTCATTCATTTTTTTAAGGTAAAGATTGGTTAAAATATAGTAATATCATATTAGACCTTAGAGGCTTGCATTCATAGGTAATTTTTCTTCTAATTAACTACTCTGTTTAAAAATTCCCTTTGGGAGTAATAGGGTTACCATTTGGCACATAAACTTTGGAACAATTTGAATGTTAAATAATAAAAGTCCAGGCTTTTCTTCTATTCAGTGGGTTTCAGTGGTCAAATATACCGAGTGACACCTCTGAAGGATAATGTTAATGGTTTAGAGCCAGACACAAGCCACTTGTAATACCTCAAAGCTGAAGGAAGGTATTGGCCCCTTTCTCTCTGGCTGAGTTTTACTAATTGCCCTAAAGGTGAGAATTGGTCACAGTCTTTTAATAACTTTGACGTTAAGTACTAAGAGTTGACGGGTAAGAAATTATAATCAAACAGGTTCTGTTGGGACCTTCTTTTTGTAAATATATTTCAGATCTTAGGAATTAGATTCTTAGAATTTTATGGTTTAAATTTTTATTACCAAGTCTCTCGTGAAACTACTGGACAGGAGAATAATTTTGACAGGATTTTGCTTTGAGGATAGTGGATAAATTTAGATTTTTGAGTCAGACCTCAAATTGAAGGCTGATTTTTTTTTTTTTTTAATCTGTTGGAAACCACTCCATGACTTTGGGCAAGTTATAAACCTTTTTGAACTACAGTGTCATCATATGATAAGTGAACATAATCCTATAACCCTCACTATAACATTTATTGAAGTGGTCACACTGTTTTAGATGCTTGTTAAACATTTATGTTCTTGTTATTTCTTTAATTCATCCAACATTTGTCTCCCCTCAAGCATTTGCTGTGTTCTTAGTATAGTACTTGGTACATTCTAGCCACTCAGTACATGTTCCTTTCCTTTCCTTGAATTCATTGGCCTAACTTCAGTTTCATGAGTGGATCATTGTGACTATAAACAACACAAGGCATTACAACATTCACAGTGATATGTTATCTGGTTATTTTGATATCAAAGCATATGCTAAATTAGACAGAATTCATCATATTGCTTTTTCTTCCTCTTATGTTTTTGAGTAAATTGTCTATCTACCCAAAATACAATAATGCAGTATTAAGAGTGCCTGTCATTTTCTACGAGTGCTCATTTAGTGACTTGCAAAATAGTTTGTGGAAATATTTTTAAAAATTCTTTTAAAATTGTGGTTAAAATTTCTGTGATACATGGCTTTGAATCTATGGGATTTTATTCAAAAATAAAATAGTCACATAAATAAAAATATCATTTGAAAGGGAATTTTTAAATTTCAGGAATATTATTATGGGCTTATGTTCCTATAAACCAGCATACGGAGAGAGGTTAGACATAGCAGCCAGACCTCATGATTTTTTGGTAAATACAATAGCAGCAACCATTTAAAAAATACATTTTAGCAACAGATGGTGAGACCAGAAAAGTGTGCAAACCATAAATTTGGACCCTTGTTTAATTTTGTCAAACTCCTCTCCCCTACCTTCTCCTCTGCCTCATATTTCTC